TGTACTTGATTTTTTTTTCCGAGAATTTTAGAAAAAAGCTTAATGCAACGGAATCCTTCCTTGTAAGACCATTATTAATCTTTCTATTATAGTTTACTTCAAATAGGATTTTAAAGTAATTTTTGCAACACTTCTAAATAAATTGATGTTATTGACCATTGACATTATTGACTAAATTGACATTAATACCATTGCGTCTCAAACCAGTAGAGAGTTTATCGAGGTCGAGCCTAAGCTTTAATGGTTACTTGACTGTCCTATATAAGAATTATCATTTTGTTTCTCAAATTTTTTGATAATATGTGCAGATACCAGACTCTATGCCATAAATTCTAGTTTGAAACACTAAGGGCATTATTCCTAAACTGACGAATATTCGACTTTGTGGGTTGATGATTTCCGAGTCCGAACGCTGTTCAATAATCTATATAATAGACAATGAAGTCGATTAATTCTGTTCTCTTCGCATATTATTTATTATTCCTTTCCTGTGCAGTTCTAACAGGTCCTGCTATTGCAACACACCACATCCACATCCACATTAATTCTGTATTTCATTTTCTCAGTTAGCTTATAGATAAAAAAGTTCTATTTGTCAGAAAATTAATTGTTTGCTTCAAGTTTTCTCAGTCTTCGTATACAGGAATAGGGTGTAAATGATCTCTAAATGAGATCATTAAAAGTTAACAACCCAAAACCCTTTATTATGTATGGTGTACTATGTGATGTATACTAATACTTTTATAATTGTATCTAATAAATAAATTTATTACTCTTAAATTTCTCATCAAACATGAATTGAGTTCCGAGATAAAAGGTGTATAAAATGATTTACGCAATCAATGAAATTCTACGGCTTGCGTCTGTTTTTAGTTTAAGTTGAGACTATAAAATCCGACACATGATTGTTTTTATTGTTAAACTTTTTATTTGAATAAAGATATATAAAAACAGTAAAACTATAAAAAATAAAAATGAACACATGCTGGTACTTTTGTGTTTTTGGGTTACTACTTCAATTATTGAACGAAAATGCACCTGAGAGAAGATGAATGCTAAAGGCTGTTTATGTGGGGAGTGTATGTGGCAATCCTCTGAGATGAGGTGCATATAAAGGACGACTTTAAAAAACCAACATTTGAGTGTTTAGTAAGTACATCGATTGACAGCACCATTCGAAGGCAGTGCAAATTTGAGATGCATTAAGGGTAGTGCAGTTGAATGAAAGGCTTGACTAGGTCTAAGAAAGTTTGGATTGCCAATAACGTGAAATCATGAGCGAAACGAATGTCCTTCATGTGCATACTCAAATAAAATTGTTTTCAAATAAGTAATAATTTACAGGTGTTCATAAAATGGTTTTTATTGGTATCTTATTATTAAATAATAAATCTTCTTAACTAAGTAACAGATTTACAATGAAGTTAATGAAATTTGTTAAAAACTGAACTAGAACTAAATAAATTTTACATATAAAACTTGCTAACTAAACTTAAAAGTCTAATATGTATCGCGAACTATTTGGATCCTTAAGATAAGATATTGTGGACGGAGGCCTTATGCTTCAGGATGAGTTCAGAAAATTAGTAGTAGTAAATTATTGTGCAAACCGAAAGCTCGTGATGATTTCATCAGACTCATTAGTAACAACTTATATCTGGACTACATAGAACTGTACTATGCGGTTTGTGCAGTTTACGTTAAATAGAAAATATTCTTCACTTATCAGAATTATTTGCAAAAGATTATTTAAATGACGATGAAATAATAGTGTTATTGAACAATTATAATGACAATAATTGCGAAAACTTAAAACAAAATATTCTGTAAAAAGAATAAAAATAAAATTAAAATATGTAATTATAGTTTTTAATATTTGTTTTATACAATAAAATTGGTTTTTCGAAGTTTTCTTGAACAAATCATCAAAATAAGTTCCTTAAATTTTTTTATGTATTATATTTTGTTCATAGAAAGCTTTCACAAATAATTAATATAAAAAAATTTTATTCCTTTAACCTATATTTGTTGATCCCGAAATATTATTAATTTACCGAATATTTAAAAGGCTAAAGTTTATTTACTCATGGTAGGTACAACCCTACATCACAGACTATACAACCTTACTGCAGAATTGTTTGAGGTACACAATCTTCATGGTTCTCCATGCTTTTGGTTCTTTATCATATAATAGTAAAAATAATAATTAACTCTTCCATTAGCACATACGACAGATTTCTAAGGGCATTGACATGTGTAAACCATATTTATAGCATATTAAGTGCATTAACCAGTTAATGACACTAAGTTATTTTAACTTTTTTATATATACATTATTTTTCTGTGTTAATTTCAGTTTGTTTTGATTTTATACAATTATTATACAGCAATTAAAATGTTGTTATTACAATAAAAACAATAAATTTTTACAAAAAAGAAATTAAGATTTTTTTTATAATAGCATAACGATATATATTGTATTAACAGGCTGCAAAGCATTTAAAATTTAAAATATAAGCGTAAATGACGCCTTATCGATAGCTTTTTGGAAGAAATGCAATGCATCTGATCTAGTTCATCTGATCAAGAACTATACTTACTAGAACTATCACTTCATGGAAGACGTTTCGAACCGATTAAGACTAGAAAAGAAAGCACGCTTAAGGAGTATAAAACCATTCCAATAAAAGGCGTAGAATATCGTTGAAGTTTACAGAAAATGTGTGGTGGATTAGGACAAGGACTGGCATTGGAAATAATGAAGCCTACTTTAAAGATAACAAAATTAATGTTAAGATAAATAGATTGTTGAATATTTTTGTGCTTCTTGTTATTATTTGGATTTCTAATTGTATGTAGAAAGCGAGGTACTCAAATACTCTGGTTAATTCGATCAAAAATGGGTACAAAAACATCAAAGCAGCTCTGAAACCCACATCATTAGTATGAAATAAAACCGATGAAATTAGTTAAATTTATATTGAGCTAGAGCAAGAAAGAACAAGTCTACAAAATGTTAGGTGTTGAGAAAGTTAATGATGAGTTGTTAGTGAAGGGAATTGAAGTAGACAATAAACTAGGTAAAGTAAAAAAAAATCGAATATATCCCATGTCATATAAATATGGCCAGCTGTGGAAAGTCAGTCACCTTGACGGGAATGAAATTTGTGGACTTTAACAAAGCATCATTGGTCTAAATATGCTTGATACAATCCATAATCTCCGATGTTATTTGTCACGTCACTTGAAATTAAACGCATAAAGTGAGTTTTTCTTAAATAACATTTATCAAATAACTGGCGTTTTTTTGATAATACCGAATCTTACCTGTATCGTTTTTTCTTATTCAGAATATATATGAAATTTTTGATTAATAAATTATCGATATTGTAACTAAAAAAATGAATTATACAGCATTTGGAGACACTATTATACAAATTCAAGTATTCCGAGGGGAAAGTCACACGGGGAGAGTACGTTGTTGGTTGATGATATTGGTGGAGTTTTTGGTCAATAACTGCGATACAACCAATGCTGTGTGAGCCGGTGCGTTATCGTGGTGTAAAACCCTTGAGTTTTCCTTTCATAAATCTGGCCTCACGCAAACGACGCATAACGGCAAAATAATACTTCTTATTGACCGTTCGACCGTCCGGAAGGAATTCATAGTGCACCACACCACGAATATTGGGGTTCTCTTTTCGGTTTCGGCTCACCTACAAAGCACCATTCGGTCGACTGTTGTTTGGTGGGCATGTCAAATTCATAGACCCATGTCTCATCACCAGTTATGATGCGTTCGATGAATGTGGGGTCACTATCTGCGTTGGAAATCATCTCTTTGGCCACATCACAACGACACTTTTTTTGAATGAAATCCAGCTAAAAATCGCCACATGAAAGTTTTTCGACTTCTTTGTATAGACGCCAAACAAAAACTAATCGTACGATATGCGTTAAACTTTGACAGAATGTGTATAATAGTATTGCCAGCGTGAAAATAAAAAAAATTTACAGATTGGAAAAGTGCGGGAATTTGAAAAAAGAACAAATAAGTTCTTTTTTGATCACAAGATATATATAATATATCCTACACAAAATCTCTCATAAAATAATAATGTAAACAACATTATTTTGGGTTATCTAAGAAAGGTTATGCTTATGGATAGCATTATTAACGCATTTATTGTGAGCCGTTAACCACGTCAAGACCTTAGTGTGAACTGATATTGCCTGTGATAATTCAATGTTAATGATTGTTATTTCAATCATTGTTAATACAATCGTGCATTATAGGTGGTAAGAATAGGTTATGATATCAAAAGAAGTGTATGTGTAACCGACTAAATATCACTGGTTTGATGATACGTATCCCATCGTATGGAGGATCGATACGTATCGTCTCAAATAATAATGTTCTTAAAAGTAAAAATTTAAATAATTAAGTTTGAAAATCACAAGGTATCTATTTTCGCATAAAGAAAAGATTTTTATAGTAACAAACTATTTTACCTACAAATATTTTATTTCTATTTAGATTTTAAGTAGAAGTAAATATTCTGGTACAAATAAAATATTTTACGATAGTATATTTGAGTACGTTTAAGTCTAACTCCCTAGTTAGACTGTCTAAATCAACAGTTTCAATGTTTTTATTTCATACATTCGTTTTAATTTTATTTAGCTATTATATTTGCATTAATAATTTCTAGAAAACGTATTTCATTTTATGAATATCATAAATTTTTAATGAATTTTTATTTAAAGTATTTTAAATAGACTCCACTGAGACATAATAAAAGCAACACCAATCCAGTGAGTCCAAATTACCCGTCCGAAATATAGTTTCTGCTATAATTTTACACATTTATTTACTTAACTCTTGAAATCAAAATGACCCACGGGTTAGACGTAAGCAACACATTAAAGATACTTTATAGCATCTTTACAGCTTTCAGTATTTTGTTTTAACTGAAAGCTGCTACTTTATAAAATCTGAAGTTCAACAATTAAATTCAAATAACTACTGTCGAGGCAGTAAGACGCAACTCCGGATTGGCGCATTTCGTGGTTTTCGGTTGTTAGTAGTGTTTAAAATGTTCTTATTTAGTGCATTCAATTTATTTTATTTCTTATGTTTTACTTTGGGATTCATACTCAGTTATAGCTTCTACACAAAGAAGCAGAAATTCCAAATTGTGGCCGCTAAATTACCAACTGCTAACGGAATTCCATTCATAGGAATCGGTTATGAGATGATACCACTAAAAAGTAACAATCCAACCAAGTGAAAATTATAAGTTTTTTGTGTATTTTTTTATTTTTTATAGAATTGTTCTACGTACTCGATTCATATTTTGAGAAATTTAAAAGCTTTACTTTTTTCACTTGGTTTGGTACAGAACCGTTTGTTGTCACAATGGATCCAGAAGTGATAAAACAAGTTCTCTCATCTGATGATTTCCTTAGTAAATCCAAATTTCTATACACCCCCATTGATAATGCACTACACGATGGTATTATAACGAGTTCTGGTAAGAGTTTTTCGAATTGCCTAAAATAATTCATCTATATATAAGTTATTATATTATATTATTAAATTTTTTTTCAGGAAATAAATGGAGGCATAATCGTAAACTAATGAATACTCTCTTTACTCATAATATTTTAACAAAATTTATGCCGATTTTTAATAATGGCACAAAAAATGCAGTCAACAAATTAAATGAATTCGTGAGTCAACCTGAAATCCCTATTTTTCAGATCTTGAAACGAATAGTTTTACAAATTGCAATTGGCAAGTAATTAATAAAATTTTATATCAATGTGAAGAAGTAAAGTGAGTTTTTAAATAACTTTAGAAACAACTATGGGTATTGAAATTAAGGACGGCAATAAATCTGACGAAGAACTTGTGAACATTTTTAACTTGTAAGTAATATACGTAGACAACATATATATATCTGTTGGGTTACTAATAAGTATTCGAGGGTGTCATAGACACCATTGTGTCAAGTGGATGGTGATTGTATTTTAAATGAGTTTTTAAAAGAGTGTTTTTTTAGCTCCTTGTTACCCCCATGAAGAGAATATATGACATTTACTAAAATGTCACAGGCACGTCAAAATTAAAATTGTTGAGACTGAGACTGAGAGAAACTAATAAATTCGGTCATGAGAGCCGAGACTATTTGATCCTCGTCACTCAGTCAAAGTCGTTTTATATATATGAATGTATATATATTTTCATTTGTCATTTGACCGTGACACTCTATATAATATGGGCCTTATATTGCCATTGCGATTGTAGGAATACATTTTATAAACTTATGTGTTGCGTTATAAAACTGATAACTTTTTAAAAAAATACCTTGTCACATAAAATACTCTTAATAGGAAGTTTAAATCTTACAGTTTACTGCGATCCCTCAAAAAAATGTCATTAACATTTTCAACCTATGTTGTTCTAGCACTAGACAGTGGTAAAATAGGTGTAAAGGATTGTCTCCGCTGCGTCACAACTGTAACAAGGTTCATGAATTTGAGTATTCAATTTTCTAACCGATAGTGATTGGTCAGTAAACCATTATATCTCTACGAATATCTCTATGGAGTATTTCAATGTGAATGTTGAATTTATTTCTCTTTGATAGCGGTAATGATCATGTGTATATATTAAATTTTTCCCAATTTCATTTATTTTTTGCTCTCAAGTAGATCTAATCTTTCATGTTTTTCAAATCTACGCTACTTGTATACATTGGTATATGATTGCTAGCCTTTCGAAATCCTTTATAATTTTATGGGGTCTTCAGTAAATATTTTATATAATGCTAATTCTACAGGTTAATTCCCTGGATTGTAATATGACTGATATATCATTGTAATTCATTGTAATGATTTGTCAATCATTGTACAGTTGAAAAACTACAGTTGACAAATTCTTTTCAAGTTATTTACGGTTCTGGTTTCTCTTCGAAGTAAGGAAAGACAGTAGTTATGATGATATTTATTTTCGATTCTAATCAACCATTCGTTGATCGTTGATTCTTTGTCATCGTCACCATCCTCGTTCTATATATAAAATGTTCTTAGAGACATATTTATGGTTACAGGCTTCATTGACAGGAAAGTGTTCTATCACTTGTAGTAACAATTCTTAAAGTATTCAATATACCACTCGTAAGTCGGTAATATTTATGTAGTTCGTTTATTATCATGTACGTATTCCACTTTACAGGTTCTTGGGGAGATAAGTAGAATTGGTATACAAATTATATTTTTTGACTATCTATTGTTCTTTTTCAGAGCCTAGAAAGCTTTAAAGATGTAAATAAAATAAAATTGGAAAAGAAATTAGAGATCGGAATTGTTATAGATAAAAAATCAGAATTTGAAAAAGAATTTTAACTTATTAATAATTATCGGAAAAAGATAATAAAATTTGGAAAAGTTTTCGTCAATAAAAAATGGCTTGTGATTCTATTGAATGCACTCTATAGATATAATTGAAAACTAGACAAAGACCTCTTTATGTATACTGTGATATAATGTGAAACAACAAAATTTTTGAAATTAATAAAAGAAATAAAATAAAATAATAATAGTATTAACATCATTATATAGCATTTTAGAAAACTGTGCACAGGATGCGCTCTATTCATCAGTTCATTTAGGGTTTCTTACTCATACTCTCAAGTACCGAAGATCGAAAAAATATATCAGGAAAGTAGTACAAGAGGTAAAATCAAAATATTTCGTTTATTGAGAAATTTGACTTATTTTAACTAATCAAATTTTTTCAAGTTAATTAATGTAAAATTTCAAGATAAACGTGAAATCAAAACCGAACAGAATTCTGAGACGGAATTACCTAAGAAGAGCGAAATATTTCTTAACCAGGCATTTGCATTCCATGAGCGTGGCCTGTTCGAACTTGAAGATATTATAATTGAAACCCAAACTATGATAGCAGGAGTAAGATTTCTGGTTAAAATATTTTATAAATAAATAATGTTTCAATATTTTCTTTTAATCTCAGTCATTCGAAACTATATCAACCACAATTTATTCAGTGCTAGTTATGTTGGCGATGCATACGGATGTACAGGAGAAAGTTTATGAAGAAATTTTACATATTTGTCCCGATGAAAATGAAGAGCTCACTTATGAAGTTTTGCAAGAATTTCACTACTTGGACATGTGTTTGGATGAAACATTGCGGTTAATGCCTTCCATACCAGTTATTGGACGCAACGTATTAGTAGACACAAAACTTCCAAATAATATTCATTTGCCTAAAGGCACCCAAGTTATGATACCAATATTTAATTTACATCGTAGGAAAGATATCTGGGGAGCACAAGCAAACGAATTTAATCCTGAGAATTTCTCACAAGAGAATGCAACTAAGCGTGACCCGTTTGCATATATACCATTTTCGAAAGGTTCAAGAAATTGTATAGGTAAGTAGCAACATGAAGATTACGTTCTCCTAAGAAAAACCTATTGTTTTATTGCAGGTTGGCGTTACGCAGAAACAGCATTGCGAGTGCTGTTGATTACTTTGGTGCGAAACTTCAAATTCTCAACTTCTTTTCCGTATAAGGATTTAGAGTTTGTCGATCACTTGAGTTTGCGTTACGTTGTCGAACCCAAAATCAAAATTTCTCTAAGAGAATAAAAAATATTTTTTAAAAGCATATCATTTTATTTTACTTTAATTATGTTATTTTTAAATTTTCTATTAATTTCGTTAGTATGCTGTCATACTCGTACTTTGGACTGCATTCGTGACAAAGTTCCCATTGCTTTAATTTTCATTCAACTTTTGAAGTTCAAAATGATGTACTGATTTAGTAAAGTTAAAGTAAAGATTCACTAAATTAATAAGTAAAATTAATATACATAAAATTAGTAATAATTAGCAATTAATTAGTAAGTAGTAAGTAGCAATAATTTACCTATCTACTTTGAAATCCAAATCAACCAAAAATCAAATCCATTCCAAAAATAAAATTATAGTTCATAAGTCGGGGTGTATTTTAGGCTAACTAAATCCAACTACGATTCTTCTCAAACTCTTAAATCACTGCAATTTTCTCATCTAGAATTCTTGTCTGGTCTCAGTTGCAACTTTTGGGGGATATCCCTTCTTCCTTTAATTTTGGTCCGATTCAAGTTTCGATCGCACTTACAAGCAAATTTCTCATTGCCTATAATTGCAATTTTTTTGTAAAATATTCACTTTTCCGTCAGTTAAGGTTCAATTTTAATTACGATTACATAGGCTTTTTTAAACATGGTTGTCGTTTCTTATGGACTATTCTCTTTTCCTTGAATTAATTTAAAATTTAAGCTGTGATAACATGGGCATCTGAAATGCCTTACTGATCGTACCAATCACTTGTGGAATATCTACATTTCCTTAGATATATTTTATATGAAAAGAATTATCTATATTGACTAATGTAAAATAATATTTGAATTGTTATGGTAAAGTTTGTTTTGTATGCGCATTAGAAAACTCCGAGGAGTTATAAATATAATACTGCTATAATCGATTACTTAAACAAACAATCGATTGTGTAATTTTCATGAATGGGCTTTTGGTTTGAAGTAACCTATTGTCTTGGAACTTGGAATAAACTATGAAGTTTTATGACCAGATTTCAATGAAGCGAATACCGTACATCTTTTGCTTATATTACTAAGCACACTGAGAGCAGCACCAGTCGTACATAAAAATACAAAATGCAAATTTGTTTATGTTCCGTAGACACGTAAAAACGTTCTTGCATATAAATTTTCTAGCGAACTTCAAACTTTAGAATTTTAGACCGTATTATTAGACCGTACGGGTTTATGTAGATGAACATTTTTCTAGTTTGAGTATAACTGATTCTATTTGTTTCACATGTTTGGAATAATTAGCAAAGACTTCAATCAAAACAACAAAAATAACACATAATAACATATAACAAAAATAATAAATGATGTAAGATGTCGCAGTTCGCTCTTCAACATTTTAGAGCTTTTGCCGAAGTGGACCATCAAGGTGTTCGCAACAACAATTTGCGTTAGCCAATGAACACCATCCACATTTTCTTGATGCCATATGTATTTTGTTATTATGTTTTTGATAGAAATTATTAAAATTCTTTTAAATTAAGTAAGAGCAGAACATGCATTTGGATTGTTTTTATGGCGGCTTCGATAGGCAACGGAAATTGTTGCAAGTTTCTTCTGCTTTAAACAGATCACTTTTTATTCATGAATGGAAGAGAATATATGCTTATTTATTTGAACTGTCTTACCGACATTTATAAAGTCGTATGACCGTTGTTTTTAAGTATTGTTGCCGTTCAATAAGTAAATAATCTGTAAAAACTTTGATCTTGTAAAGAAATTTAGGGTAGTATTCTTGGTAAGTTTGGCAGTGATTTTCTAGATGTCGAATCACTAAAACATGCTATTGATTCAAAAGGAGACTATTTTAAATAAGTAAATAAATTTTGCTACAAAAACTGGATGTTATGCTCATGTCCAAAAAGTCCAGTTTACCTTGGAATGCTCCTTCTACAACAATGCTGTGGTTTACACTTCTTTGGTAACCATCTAATCGTCGTCCATGCTAAGAAATCCAAACTTTAGTGCTATGTTATTAAAGCTTGCCACATCAGATACAAGAGCATCCATTTGGTATTTAAAGAGAGATTTTTTAATTTACATAGCTCCAGGACTATGAACCGGATTTATTTTTTCTTTATATGAGAATATTGGTGGTTATGCGAATTTCTCTAGAATCAGGAAAATACATATCATAGCAAACTTTATTAAATAATAAATTAAATCTGCAGTGAGCACATAACACAAAAAATCATATAGAGAGATAATGGATTCATACGCGATTCATATGGCTTTGGTTGCAAAATCATCCTATAATTTAATTTAACAAATTTTCAAAATTAAATTTCATTATTTTAACTTAATTGCAAATATTTTTTTAGTTTTTTTAAATATTAAATAAAGATTTAATTTACTTTGATTTATTTTTTATTTGGCCAAACAATGCTTTCAATGAAATCCAAATAAGAGGCAACACGCGTTCACAAAAATTCCCCAACAGGTTCACCATTACTTCTTCGAGTCAATGTTATTAGACTCACTACATGATTGATGTGCTTTACAAGTTTAACCATGCCAGCACCCGTCATTCCAATGCAGCACTTGAATAAGCTAGAAACAATTTTAATACACTCCTAATCACCTATCACTTTATGGTGCGATTTCCTTAAATTTGCCTCTGTATAAATTAATGTTATATTATATTGTAAATGAACTTAACTGACAAAACACTCCACACTAATCTACAGAAGATGATTGGGATCAGCTGCCGATGGTAAGAGTTTCCGGTAAATATTGTTCTGTATCGAGACAAGCTGGTGATATGGTGGGCTTGAAATCTAAATCGCCGAATAGTTCAAGTACAGCGATATTATTTTTTCCAACATCGAAATCTGGATGTAAATGAATTGTGATTTTATTATCTTCACGACAACTCTTGGTGATGTTGTCCTTATATTGCCTGTGTTATTCACGCCAACAAGAACTAATCATTCTCTACGATTTAAATTGATTACACAACTTCCGGCAGTTAAAATGTAACGCTTTTCTATAATTGTTCCTGAACATAGGAATTTATATCCATAGTCCTTATCGTGTTCTTTAATCAGAGCAGCTACGTGTGTTAGATCGTCATCAGGAACACCGCTTTGTCTTCTAAAACGTTGACTTACACTAAACCGGGGAAATGTGCTGCAGGCTAAGGAAAGTATATATCCATTAATAGAATTATTTCACTACATATCCATTAAAAACTTTTAAAAAAACATTTAAAAATGAATGAATTGGTATGAACTCAATAATACGAGGGCGGTTTTTTTCCATTTTAACGAAAATGGAAAAAAGTGAATTAATCCATTATCTTTGCTGTAACTAAAAAATCTGTTGCAGTCTTTACTAACAAAATTCTACCTACATTAATAAGAATAGTGATAATTTAATTAAGCTCATACTCCAAGGAAAACTAACTGACTTCACAAGTCTAAATTATCATATTGTATGTTTACTTACTTATTGGCCTATCTTTAGAACTCGACCATAATCATTAATAGCTGATAGAAGATAATTTCAAATGACGTTCGAAAAGTATTGATCTGCTCATCAGTGTTTAATAAATTTCAGAATTTTTAATTGATTCCTGCTTTATTCAACCCATTACGTCACTTATCAAACACTCTTGGACATTTGTAATTTTAAATTTTTTATCTATAGTGGCAACTTCACTATATGTGAATACAGTTGAATTATTTATTCTGTTCCTCTAACTACCAACCGATTATTTACTTAAGCATCAGACTCACATAGTCTATAAATAAATAATGATTGATAAAGAACACTCTCCCTCTAATTAATAGTTATCCGGTCATTGTATTTAGTAGTGACTATGAAGTTGCGAAAGGCTAAGTATGGAGTTTAAAATAAAAGGCATCGCTGTTGCCTTTTCGTTACCCGCTGTTGGAAAATGCGATAGAGAATGTTTGCATCTTCGATGGAAGCACTAGGTAACAACTGATATGAAGGCACTCGGTACCACCAGTTGGCAACAGTTGGCAACCAAGGATGACTCACATCTGTAGTGGCCAACGAAGTAATAAAGTAAGTAAGTATAAAGCTATATATACCTTTTGGAATCGTGGTCTAACAAGAGAAGATTGGATTAGGGACAACTTATTACAAAATGAATCCCTGATAAAATTAAACTATGCAATAAGGTAGGCAGCAGTGTATTTTACAAATAACTTAACCTTAGTTATTTCGCCCAACAATATATATCAGACTATAAATAGTCTACAGCCGGTGTACAACATATTTGTTATATACGGTTTTATATGTTATAGGAACTTTACGAACTTTTATCAACTCTGCAGAAATTGCCATTGATTTGGCTAGCTGAAGCAGGATTTACATGGAATGACATCTATATAGAAACACCAAATAGAATCAGATTTAGATTCTGATTAGATTCTAAAACACACTTCCACTGAAGGAAGTGGATAATAGAAGTAGTAGTAGTCTGCACAAATGAAAAAGAGAACCTACCTTTTTTTATCAGCTACATAGCAATCGTTCTTAAAGTCTTTCTTCTCCGTCAGCGGGTTTTTCCTCAACTTAGATAATTATAATTATTATGTTTCTTAATTTTAAAGTTAATACAAAATTTTTTTATAATCTTTCAGCGAAACTTTTAACAAGTTAGAAGAAGTGCACCAGTCACATGAGTAGGCAGAGAAAGTAACACTTTGCAAGAAATGAATAAGCCTACACATGGGGAAAAGCGATATTGTGGACCATTTTTCCAATATAATTTTCATATAAATAGACTGAAATATTTTTTATTGCAGATAGATACGATACGCATTCAATTTATTTTGGGCCCTTAAGTTCCATAAATAATGATAGTGTATAAGTACATAGATAGATGCACTCAAGGCTCTTTTTGCTGAAGCTCATTCCTGTTTTTTCAAGGCTCCTTGCAAATGCAACAATTCCAAGTTGCCTAAATGAAGTGAGTGGTATGAATGACATTGATATTTGCTCTAATTTCCTCTTCGTCCATGAATGTAATTTTTT